TCAAACATTCCTATCCTCCTCTCTCCGAATATATTACGTGTCCACGACGAAAAATACAGTTATACATAAAACAACATAAAATTAAAAAACGTTAGCTAATGCTGCATACGATGAGGCATGATGGTGAGGTAAGATCGCTTGAGTGTCCGAGAAGGGATGGAAAGGTCCGGTTTGAACAATTGAGGGATATTGCTGCAGCTGTCCCAGAGAGACATGATACAAATTGCGGTGGCAATGCAGCTTTGCTGTGGATCCTGAGGCGGCTGCGCGCGATGAGACGCGTCAGTTTGCGGGATAATGCGCACGGCGAACCGCGGGATGTTCAAGTGATGAAGGCGCGTCGCGCAAGTGGAGACGTGCGCCAAAACTTCGAGGCCCACCGGCGCACTCTCCCCCCACAGCAGTCAGCAGATGCTGCTGTAGTTTTAGAAGATTAACAATCGAAGACTGGTCTAGAATAAGAACTATAATCGGCAGCTAAATAAGACAATAAAGACATTTTATTTTTGAACTAGTCAGTCAAAGGGCTTGTTGGTCCATTATGTCAGAGCTTCCAATTAAAATGGCGCCATGGAAATGTCAAGTGGATTGGTGTTTCGGACACCCCAAAGCAAAAATGTCTCCCTCTTACATGCCCCTCCCTGATCAATCACGCATTCAGGCGTAAACAATAACATGAGATGAAAAATTGTTGTGAAGTGTGTGGCTCTTGACGCACTGTGCTATCGACGTAAAAAGAGACTGTTGAAAGGGCACAGGCACTTTGGAACGTCTCAATGATAAATAAATATTCACAAATTTTTCAACACTAGAAGATCGCACCGCAATGTGTGTGGCAAGAATAGGTTCACGAACTATGTGAAACATTTTACGGTAGTACTGTACTGTGACATATCCGTGACTAACGGACACCACTAAAATTGTAAAATGTTTCCCATGCACACTTAAAAAATTCTGAAAAATTACGAGGTTATCATTGCAGAACCCCGACAGCCGCCATCCTGAGTGTCACAAAGCTTATATTAAACAAACAGCGTGTTGGCGCAGGTCCTGCCTCCGATATCCCATTTCGACCCGCTAACCAAGCATAAAGCCGCGGGCAATGACGTCCACAAACACAGCATACGTTCTTTAGCCTAAACATCGATAACCGCGGTCAGGGATTTTCCGGATAATTTAATTTTAAAGAAAAACTTCAATGTTCAATTGAATGACGCACTCGTTCACATTCCGAAAGCAGGTAAAAATGCAAAATTTTGCCACTTCGATGCAACAATGTCATTGGCCGGGCCTTTCATTATTACGAAAAGCAAACGGTTTTTCGCCAAACACCTACACACAGTAACTGGTCACGACCATCCCGGCCTGCCGGCCTCGGGGGGGCTCGTTGACGCACCCATTCCAGTGTCAATCAACGAAGAAGTCGGGGCTTATTCTAATTACGGAGATGCGAAAATGCAACAAAAAGGACGTAACGCAGTGCGCTAAC